GAAGCATATCTGTGTGTGTTTAGTGGGAGGAGAGCTTTGTCTTTGGAGGGCCAAGTCATTCGGGCAATCTCCGTGACTTTTTGTTTCCATAGCCAAAAGGTGAATAGATACCATGACTTTTGCCCAGAGGCTGTAGTTGTATCTTGGACTTCGTCAAGTGTGCTGTGAAATTATTAAGGTGAACCCACCATTGGGGATCAAGGTTTACTCTATCAGAACCCAGGGACCCTTGTCCTGTCTTCCAGATATCTGGAAGGCTGCCAACTGGAACTCCAGAATGCAGTCTTCCAGGTGTTTGTCTAAGATTTGGAGACTTCCAGATAATATAACCATTGCTTTGAAGTTGCCCACTGGGGAATGTGCTTGAGGGCAAGTACTCAGAGGAAGCTGCTTACTAATAACAGGAATTGATTGAGATGGAATGGCCATGTTCATAGTCTTTATCATGCCCTTCTTTTCTTTTTTCTTGGGTCCCTATGATTTGGGGATGAGAATACAGGCTGGTTGCAAGGAAATGGGAACAGAAAGTGATTTGCTCTCCAGAGACATATAGGGCACTGTGAAACAGAGTGTCCACTGGCATTACTAGGGCAGGGGCAGGCAATTATTTTGGGTGGAGGGCCGCTTACTGAGGTTTGGCAAGCCACCGAGGGCCGCATGGCAGGCAGCCAAGAGCAGATAAATATTAGTTTTCTACATTTTTAGGGGCCCCGCGGGCCAGATAGAATGGCCTGGTGAGCCGCATCTGGCCCGCAGCCTGCATTTTGCCCATCCCTGTACTAGGGTAAGAGATTTTGCAATTTTGAATACTTGGATATTTGCCAGAAGTGGAATATGCATATGGACAATACATTTCAAAGAACTCTAGTTACTAGTAAGAAACTTCTTTCTTGCATCTAAAATAAGAAAATTCAAGCATAAATTTTCAGTGCTTACTTGCCACTAGATAGTTACTGTCAAAAAGGAGTACACATATGCGTTTCAGTCCTTTGAGGCATTATTTATGAACAGTGAAAGTTATTCTATGCCCTATGGCAAATGTTTCTTTGTAACAGTGGGGGTCAATCTTTTTGGTAGGTGTTCCGTGTGTCCTCCTCAAGCGTCACTTTGATTTCCTTTCTCTGCCTCCTCAGCTGCTCTGCTTTCATCTTCCTGCCCTATCTTCCATTATGCTGCTTGTTCCCTCCCTGATCTGGTGTGTGCCACACGGAGGTAGGCTGGCCACCCCTGCTTGATAGCACAATTTAGGAAATTTTAAAAATAAGGTGACTTCTTGATAGTCAAACTCACGGAGGATCATAAGGTAATGATGCACTTGAAATAAAAGCTCTCATCTGGGAAGAGTAAAAACCCTTGCTAAATAAAGGGGATAAAAGTCAGTGGAGTATCAGGTTTCAAGTTAACCAACAGAACCTGAAGGCAGGCCCACATGGAGTGAATTTTATTTGAATTGTATGCCAACACCAAATACGTTGGGTAAAACATAAGTCACACTCGTCAACAGAAGCCCAAACTCAGAACCAAGTTGAAGGGAGTACAGTTGTCTTCAAGTTAGCGTAGTTTTCTTTTTGCACATACCGGGTCTGAATGTTATGCATTTCAAATCAGCAGTTACGTAAATTGGAATAGTGGTACCCATTTTTGTAAAAAGGAAGTTTGAAAGCACATTTCAGGAGGACTGGAGTGCCGTACCGTAATGTGGTGGAGTGTAAGAATTTCCTTCTTCCTGGCTGGAAGGCAGGGTTTATTAATATCCCAGTATTGAACGATTTGACTTTCCTTCCAGATATGACCTGCTCATTTATCCAGTGCATTCCTACTATGTGCTTCAGGTAGTTCTCTGCAAATTTCCTAGTGGCTTGTCCAGTTAAATTTTACATAACTAACAAACTTGAGTTCTAAAGCTAATTAGGCTCCAGTGTTAAGAAGTTTTTCAGTTGTTTGTGCTAAATTTCCTTTCCTTGAATTTCTTCTCCTGTCCTCATCCTCTGGATTACTTATAGCAACACTCCCCTTCTTTTATTAATGCTAATTCATTTACAAGTATTGGAAAGGTGTGATCTCATTTTCCAGAATTATAATGTTATAACTATAGGCTTTTTTCCCCCCTGTAATTTTATTTTTGATTTGTAATCAGAGAATCATGGAAAGTTAGGTATGGGAGAGACTTCAGGGGGTTCTCTAGTTCAACTCTCCCCTGCTTGAGGCAGGATCATCCCTGTCCAAACATTCTGTACAAGTGCTTGTCTAACTTATTCACAAAACCACACAACAACCGTGTCATCTAGCTGCAACTACGTTGCTCCAAAATGCCAAGAACACCCTAGCCTGTCACAGGTAAAGAGGTAGGGGGTGGGGAAGGAGGGCACTGTTAGTGTCTGGATGCTGCAAGGGTTATTAAAGTAAATTTGAGAGATCCCAGGAAAGGACCACACACTTCCAACAACATTTGAAATGTGGGAATTATGTACAGTTTTGTAATGCGATTATGCCAATTTTGGAGAGTAATTATTTGATTAGTTAGGTGGGTGAAGTGTGTGTGTGTGTGTGTGTGTGTGTGTGTGTGTGTGTGTGTGTGTGTGTGTGGTATAAGCAGATGTACTCAACTGAAAATGTATGTGGTGCAGCTTGGGTTTCTTGCAACAGTGAGACCTTCATTTTATTTGTCTGGGGGCGGGAGTGTCCAAGATGCAGCCTGTAGGCCAGATCTAGCCCACCGAGCCCCCTCCAGGAGTTTTGCAGGCCCAATGATACAGCTGAGAATTTGGGGGTGGTGCCTGACACCTCCAGGTTGTAGAGATGCTTTGAGCATGTTTTGATGGTGGCACGTTGAACAATGGCTGTGCTAATCCCTGTGACTGACGCAGCTTGTCCTGATGCTGCCTGCCGTGCCATTTGTCCCATTGTTGGTAGCTGGTTTGACTCTGGCCTGCAAGCAATACTGTGGTCCAGATCTAGCCTGAGGGGCTAGGCAAGCAGGATGCCTCTGGTTTAGGGTTGGGTCTGGAAGAAAGGGTATTGTGGCAGAGTCTTTTGAGCGAGGGCTCTAGTTCGTGCATTTTTTTTTTTTTTTTAAATCACTTCCATTGGCCAAAGTAGGTTTATAGGTTCTTTAAAATCCTGGGTGCTTATCATTCATTGCATGTGCTGTAGAGCGGTGGTTCTCAACCTTTTTTTGTACCAGGGTCCATTTGTAAACATCAATGGCCAGTCGTGACCCAGTGCCCATCACTCCTGACCTGATGGCCTCTGCCCGCAAGCTAAGCCCCACAGTGTGTTTGGAGGGAGAGGGGGGCAAGCAGCCCCTTGCAGGCTGGAACTCTGCCACCCTGCAAGGAAAAAGCCACTGTTTCCTACGTTTTTCTCCTTTAAAGGAGAATCCGTTTTTAAAGTTTGTTCATGACCCTTTAATATATTCTTGTGACCCACGGGTTGAGAAATGCTGCTGAAGAGGAGAGCTATAGAAATAAAAAAAAATGAGAAACCCCTCCTGAAAGGGAAGAGCCTAGCTTTAAAACTGGGTTGTCAAATTTATGGTGGGGCTAGATCCAGCCCACAGAGCAATGTTGTATGGTCTGTGGTGTTAGTAGAAGGGCCAGGGTCTTGCCGCTTCTATCTGGGGAATGAAGCCCAACCTGTGTCGGCAACAGGGTGGCAAACGATGGCTGTTAACTTGCCCTGTTGCTGTACCTGGATCAGGCTTGCGAGGAGCCCATGGTCCTTTTGCAGTCTGGGCAAGACTGGGGTGAGTTTGACCCACCTGGTTTGAAACAGTCAAGGAATCCCAGAGGGAAAAGTATGGTGAAAGCAATAGGTCAAAGTCTGGTGCAGCTGACTAGCATGGAATTTCGTTATGGATTAAGTTAGCTTCTAGTTTTAAAACAAATGCTTTGATTGCAATTGAATGTCATCTTTGTGACTCTTAAAATGCTCCTGACCAATGGCAATTGACTTAAGCAAGCATGAGTGTGTTAAAGTGGTGGTGCGTTGTCTGCCACCTACGTTGGATCTGGTTACAGCTTTGCTGTTTGATCAGAGAATTCTTCTTTAGGCTAGTTTCATGTGGGGGGAGGGCAGGCATGCATTATGCTGTAAACATTTAGAAATTTAAAAAGTCCATTTCTATAGAAAATGAAAAGCCTTGATAGAGTATTAGTTAGGTGTCTTTTCCTCTGGCCCTATTTGATACTTGATGATCTGAAGGACCAAGGTAAAGCAGTGGCAAAATGGACAGGAAGATGGACAAGCTACACTGCTAAAAAGCAGGATGGCAAATTTTAGTGAATGTTGCACAGTACGGAATAAATCTGTATTTAATCCAATTTCAGACATGCTTAATCAGTTTTGTATATGGTAGCCTCTGTTAACTTAATATAGGTCATAGATGTTGTTTAGAATGAGAACCTATGTTTTAAGTATTATGGTGCTATATACTAACTTCTAAATCAAGATTACTTGTGACTGAATACAGCTCTCTCTCAACTTAAATTTTGGCATGCCTGTAATTTTAAAGTTCTTTATTTGTTGTATGCTCCACTAGATGTAGTAGAGATTAATTTTTATCTGTAAGGAATTAATCTTTATGTTCCACTTACTAAATGTGAGCTTAATAACCAAGCTACATTAGTTGGTACTATACTGATACATGTAAAGGGTTCTCCAAGTGTGAACTGTGGTATAAAATCTCAAATGGATCTCTTAAGGGTAGCCTAAGAGCTTCTGGATGATGCATACCAATTAAGCCTAGCTTACATAATTAACTGACACTTACATAGTTTGAAGTATTATGTTTAGGTGTATTCTGAATAATTCTAAGTGCTGTTGGCTGGACATCCGCTCAAATACTGTAGACGAGACTGAGAAATGTGTTTATAAATTTGTCTGCTGGAGTGAAGCAAATAGATTCTTAATTCTGGTTTGTAAAAACTTTGGAAAAAAACTTGCAGTTTAATACTGCAAACTCATCCAAGTTTTTCTTTTCTTTTTTTTGTGACATTTCAGGATACGCTGTTTCAACCAGGAGCACCAACTTAACTGGTATATGAGAAGCAGATTCCTTGCACGAAAATCTTGGAGCAGCTCATTAAGGTAAACAGGTTGCAGTGGATTTCTGGATGGGTGAGTATTGGAGAAGAAAAATACTCTCCCCCTACTTCCGTGGTTCCTTTTTGTTTTAAAAGTTAATTGCAGAAATCCACAAGTACAGTTTTTTTTTTTCAATCTTGTGTTTTCAATCTTCTGTCACAAAGTACAGTATGGCTGAAGTACTGCACAGAGGTTTGGTGGTATCACACATGTAAATTCAGGTATGTGTTTGAATGTACTACCATATGGTCACATCTGTATTCTTTCTAGTGACTTATCACAGCACCGGCATATTCATTTATTACAGTGAACTCCCATCTAGTGCTGTTCTTTTTAATGGCTTTAATATATATATTTAAAATTATGTATAAAAATGAATCTATCCAAGCTGCTTTTTGTCATACTGGATTATCTTGCATGCAACATACCTCCCCCCACCCTGAAAATTACACCCCCAGAATTGGGGTGTGCTCTGGATAGAAGCAACCTGCTTTGATTCCTGTTCTACAGTGCAACAGCTGTGGCATTGCATTATTATTCAGGCAGCTGAGAGATACAGTTGACACAATGGCGCATTGTTCTTCATTCCACAGGTGGTAACAATAGTCTCTCCTTTTAATGGTCTTCATGTTCCATTAATCAAGTTAACCTTACTGCAAAATCTGCTAGGCTAGCTCTTCTTTGTTTCCCTTTTCCCATTACAGATCCTGGAGACTCTTAACTCTTAACTCTTTTCAAAATCATAGATCCACTCATAGCGAACAATCTTCAGCAGCAGCTAGGCTTTAAGATTAAGTTAAGCAGGGAACTGAGGGTGAGTTATCTGAAGATTAATCTCTGTCCCTGCTCTATGCAGCTATAACTCTGGACAAATAATGTTTTCTTCATTTTGCCTTCAAAAATAAGGCATGTATTATATTTAGGGGTGTGTTGTATATGGAAAAATATGGTATTTGAAATACAGTTGCAAATAAAATAACAGCATTCCAAAAATTGCAAAATAATTAACTGAAAACAAAGCCAATTGCCCTTTCTGATTAAGGGGTAAGGGGACATATAGAAGAACCTTTTGAAGAAGGAGGTGGTTAGGAAAGCTTTAAAAGAAACATTAGCAAATGAGCCAGGGCCTTAGAGGGAGCTTCTTTGCAGTAGTCAGAACAGGAATTTGGGAAAGTTTGACATCCTTCTTCCTGTTAACTGATGATATATTTCTTCTTAGCCTTCAGCCATGGGCAGTTGGTGCTGCCTTAGTCAGGAGGGGCATGTGCCGTGCCCCCCTCCCCCCCTCTCCTCTCAGTGACCAGGCAGTGACTGGGGGGGGATCCCCCCATAGCCAATCTCCCTGACCGGGGCGGGGCTCCCTGCCTGTCACCTAAGCAGCAAGTATGGCCAGTCAGGGGGTGCACATGCACCCCCTACACATAGCTGCTGCCTTCAGCTATCCCAAAC